AGCTTGAACTCCAACGATGCGCCACGACATGCCCATACGGGCTCGCACAAGCACTTTGCAAATATTTTGAACTCCCTGCCAAGGAAGGTCCAGTTACCTCACACCCGGACGGCAATGGCGCCCAGGTGTCATCAAACCGCGGTTTCTGATCAGCAGCGAGAATGAAATTCAATTACGATTATTCACGACACAGAATGTTGTCAGTTAAAAACCAAGTGTGCGTAGCATCAGGGAGGTCATCCCCAAGGGGGCCACAGTTAAAATCGTGACCAAAACTGTTCTTTGCGTGATTTTACGTTAGAAAAGACTGTAAAATGTTACTTTTATACTTGGAGAGCCATCTAGCGGCAGAAATCAAAACTATCTCAATCGATGGGTCATTATTTTCATTACTGTGGCCTAAAAATAAATCAGGCTAGAGCATTACGACCGCCGACCAAATTTCGAACTCATTGAGATATTTATTGAAAGAGTGACTTTTCTTACGACAACGTCTACGGACATTTACCAATATTGGACGTTGTAGATATCTAACGTGATCTACTTATAGATATCTATTTCAATAGACATTTGCAGAGATTATCGAGGTTCAAGAATGACCTTAATGAGCGAGTCACTTGGTATGAAGAAGAAAAGAAGATGGTGGCGTAGCGTAGCGCGGACCCAAAACAAAGCAGAAAGCTGCATCTCGGAATTGCGTTTATATTAAAAGTCGTGAATTTCAAATTAGTTTTTAATCTCTTTTGGCGTACAATCAACAGAAATATACCCGATATCAGCTCCAAAAACTCTATTTGGGAGGGTTTCGCAACCAGGTTATGTCGCTTTGTTTTGGGTCGCCGCCATCTTTTTCTTTTCTTCTTCATACCAAGTGACTCGCTCATTTGCCGAAATAAACATCATAGACGTTCTTAGATATTTTTTAGACACGTCTACGAGCGTCTATTGACGTCTATTTTCCGACTGGGGACACCCGAGTCGGGTAGTGGGAAAAGGTACGGGCCTACGGTCCGTCAACGGCCAATCACCTCGACTAAGCATGCAGGGATGTACATTTTTTCGCTTATTTTCGTCAAATATACCCTCTAGCGCCTCAAAGGTTTGAGCTAGAGCAAAACGGACAAAATTTTCGCCCATAAGGGCTCTTCTTTGATGAGTTAGCCCTTAGGAAACCATAAAGAAAAAATATTTTTAAAACACGTCATTTTTGGGACCTGTTGTTTCTAAATTTTTTTTAATCCAATTTTTGAGCTAGAATGCTCATCTTCGAACTGGATCTGTCTTTTTACTAGGTACATGTACGCCAGATCACGTACTCTGGAAACTCGGGTGTGAGACAGTCTAACACCAAATGGTGTTAGGCAAAATACCTCACACCAAGCGGTGTGAGGCAACCATACCTCACACCAAATGGTGTGAGACTAGTTGTGCCTCACACCAAATGGTGTGAGACCCTCTGTGTCTCACACCATTTGGTATGA